ATAAAGAACTCCATTTTAAAAAATGCAATTAAAGCTATTTGTAATGGTTGGCATTTAGCTACGAAAAAACTTAACTAGTTTTTCATGGCTGGATTATATGGGGATATCCTGTGGGACTGGTTTGTCTATTTGTACCTTTCTTTCCATAAACTTACGGTTAAGTGCCCCTTGGCAGCCTGTATATAATATATGGCTTTAAAACTACTTCATGAAGTCAGGCTGCAGAGGGTGAACAAAGATAGAAAAGCAAGAGGCAGCTGCATAGAACCCAGTAGGTTAGAAAGATAAACAAAACGTAAGCATCAACTGTGCCAAAATGGTTACTTCTACAGCAAACGCACCAAATTCCAACACCCCATGAAAAAAAAATACAAAATGCTGCTGCCACAGAATCAGGATTCAGAGTCCTTTACAACATGAAACACAAGAGATTTATATTCATACATCTCCGTTCTTAAGGATGCAAGAGTTCTGAAGATACAATCATTCAAACCATTTTAGAGAAAATAGCATGATAACATTAACATTTTTACTGAACACAGAATGAAATGCAGATAACATGCGGTACTATCTGCCTAAAAATTATGCTTATTCACTGGAAAAAAATGTTTCTAATTTTTCTTACAATAACTAGATCTCTCAATTACACAATAGAAAAGAAAGTTGTCCTTCTTGCAGTTTTATACGCTGTTTTACATATGTGGTTTAACATAGTGATACATACCCTGGTGGTAGATAAATTAGGAGAGAAAGCAGGAATATTTCTGGATCTTTGGGCATGAAATAGAAGGAAGTTTAGGAATGAGGCGAAAGGAAGATCTTGCTTCTTGTCCCTCCCCCCTTCCTGTTTGCTATAGCCGATACCCCTAAACATGCTCCATCCCTTTATGTGCACTACAAGTCCCAATAGCTACTAACACCTCATGACAAGGGAAGTAATGGTTCAAAAGGCATTTGGATTCATAAAGCATTTGGATGAAAAGGCATTTGGATGCGTATCTTGCTGGGATCACTCGACTCCAGACTTCCTGCCTATTACAGGGGGGTTGGACTTGATCTTGCAAGGTCCCTTCTAGCCCCTAATGTCTATGAAAAGAAAGAGAAGCCACCTCCACCAATCATTATCACCAGCCTACACGTTTTAGTAGATACAAACAAAACTGAAAGTCACTGGAGGCACTTTAGAAGTGACCGACTGAAATTATTTTTAAATTATCGTGAAAATCTTGCCAATAACTTGATATGAAGTCTTGGGCAAGTCAGCTAACTAACAGCTCAATTTTTATACTTGTAAAATGCAGATAATAGAAAATGCTACCCTAAATGACTCATTCTGGATATGCATGATTTAACACAGTAAAGCAATGTGTATGTACTACATTACTATAAGTGCAGAAATATTTGGAATTCAACAATTAAATGTTTTGCCAACAGCCTTGTGGATAAGGTTTTGTGTAGCTAGTAGAGCTCAGGATATCCACATTTAAATCATGTCTCCATCACAGACTCCTTCTGTAACCTTGGACAAGTCACCTCATCTTTCCATGTCTGGCTTTCCCATTTGCAAAAACAGTCAGTGCTAGGCTCTTGAAGCTATGGAACTGTTAAACAATGGCAAAGACTCCTCTTCCTACTCCTCCCTGGTTTTTTTTAATTTTTTCCCAAATCAGTAGGTTTTCTCCACTGATGGCTAGAACACTTTCTACATTTAGGAATCTGTCAGATGTGGCATGCAGTATGACAGAGAAAGAAATGCCATAAAATTAAGTGCAAGATCTCACAAGCCAGATCTCACTGCATCTTCAGCAGTAAGTATTTAAACTGCAAACACTAAAATAATTTGTTTTTAAATAATAACAATCTATTCTGCCACTATTAGATTTATTTAAAAATAACATGATGCAAGTCATTAAAAATTAATGTGCAACAGCCAATCCTTCACATTTGAGCCCATTTATGCAAAAACATTTATGCTCCAAATTTTCTACCAATAGTCAGTAGAACAAGCAATCCTTTGACCTGTTCCTTCAATTCCTAATCCTCAGTTTTACACCCTTTGAAGTATACATGTCAGCCCTATAAAACTTGAAAGAAGGATGTGTTGTTGGTTAAAACAATTGACAAGGGAAGAAATTAACCCCTCCTTGGACCTCTCCCTCAATAACTAGCAAAAATAAATACTGAATCTCTTGGTGTTAAGTCATAAAATTCATCATTATAACTGCATTTGCTGCTTAACATATCCCAACAGTGAATCTAACATTTAGAATCTATCATATCAACATAGTCATCATGATCCAAGCTGCAAATAATAGAGAGTGTCAGTGTCAATTTTGTTTTCTCACACTCGCTTCCCGTCACTTCATCTGATTTTAATAATCCCTGTCAAACCACAAACAGTCCAAATTACCTTCTTGACACAGAAGCTTTCAAGGAGGAGACAGAATCTCAACTTTCATTTAGCGACAACAAAAGAAAGCTGTCCAGCTGGACAAATATTATTTCCACTCTTGACAATCTCTATAGTAAAGCATGCGTTTTAATTTTAACTGAAGCTGCCAAGAGTTTGATATGAGCTTCTTGTTTAGTACAGATTGACTCGCAGGATTAGCAGACCAACAACTGTAATTGTGTTTAAAAAAAACCCAGCATTTTCCATTAAAAGATAAGTCATACTCTGTATCTAACAGCCCAAAGACGCGTGCAAGAGATAACAAATGTGTATTATGAACTAAACACCCCACTTAATTAACAAAAAGAATAATGGAGAAGTACTTTCAGAAGATGTGATCTTTGATCATTTTACAGTTCCAAAATTCACTAGCTAAGAGCTGCTAAATTCAGTAATAATTGAACTAAGGAACAATATGTTCTAGAGGTTGAAAATATGATTGACAGTCTATAGGAGGTGAGCATTTGACTTACAAGCTAAATACCGTCATTCAAAAAGCCCGAGCCTGAATCAATTCAATCTTTTCAGATTACCCTAACCTGTGCAGACTGAACTGAGAAGCAAGTGAATAGACATTCGCTTTTGATTCTGGAAATGCAGCCACATGCCTGCACTGGCTCAACTAGACAGAGGGGGAATTAAACCCCGCTTCCCTTCAGGCTACTGGTACCTGGCCACATGCCCCACTTCTGCCACTGGACAAGTGAGGGGCACTCCATAGCAGGGTTTCCCACCCCCATTCTCAGTCAGCCGGCTCCAGCTAGGGAGGAGAAGAGAAGAGTGAGGCCAACCCTGCCCTGTTGGAGCAGACAGCACAGCTGAGCCCAGCCCAGGGCTTCAAAGCATCCTGGGATGCTGAGGGACTGAGAGTTAACTTAAACCAGGAAGAGGTCTGGGATAGAAGTTCCATAAAACAGTTTGACCTAAATCAGTTAAGTCTAATACTATCTTCAACAGGGTTTATCCTTAACCAGTTTCGGCCATTTTGAAAGCAGTTTAAGTGCACTGATTTTGTTCTGTTACATATTTAAACAAGTTTCTGATCACTTAAACTGGTTTATGTGTAGCTTCTGTCCCTAGCCACAATATATATATATATATATATATATATATATATATCAGGCAAACAAGCTTCCACAAAAGTATCTTATCTGCAAGTATCCTCCCTCCAACTGACTCACCTTCAAAGTAAACATGATAGCATAACTCACTGCTCGACCTGGATCAGTTAAAAAGTAATTGATTTCTCTGATGAGCCATGGTATTGTATAATTACCATTCTGTTTAAAGTTCATGCGACTCAATCAAAGCATAGTATGAAACTTTAAAAAACTAAATTAAATTTCAATGCAGTACTAGACATCTGGGTAGTCAGATACCAGGCTCACTCACTTCAGAAAATGTTGTATAAAGCAGTATCTGATTTTGAAGTGATGTTAGCTATTATAAAGAAATATAAAATAACCAAGATTCTCCCAGCTGGAGATAAGTCTGAAATTGTATTTAAAAATAATTTACATTACATAATGTTTGTCTACCCCAAGTACGTGGCTAATTCAAAGCAAGTTTGATCAACTTGAAGTGATTCTACAAATAATGATAGCAAGTAAAGACAATTAAGGCCTATCTTGGATGAGCCCATGAAAATGATTTATTACAGGGCTGTCCAACTGGAGGTCTCTGAAGGCTTACCTTGTGGCCCCTGGCTCATGGCCCAGGTGCTGCTGCCATCAACGGAGGCTCCAGGCTACCCCCTCCCTTCTATACCTTCTGCTTCCTGCCCCCAGCCCTGGGAGTGGAGCTGAGGAAGCCCATAGTTAGGGAGATCAGGGGGACTTTGCACAGCATGCGAGTGTCAGCACAGTGCATCAGGAGCACCACACAGCATAGCAGGGGGTACTGCAATGGGAGGGGGACACTTAGGTGGTGCAGTGCAGTAAGGCATGCAGCCCACGCAGAAACTGGACAACCCTGATTTATTAAACAGGCAAGTCAGCATCTAACTGGGGCATTTAGCTGCAAATAAAATCTAGAGCTTTACAATGAGGGAATTGTTGCATCTATTTCCTCTTTCCTAAGTTGGAATATAGGACCAAGATCAGGCTTCTCATTTTCTTTTGGACTAGTAAGTGGCTGCCTATCTGCTTTCCTTTCAAAATTGTGAGTCATGCTCTCTTTCTTCAGTTGATCCCCTTTCCAAGCAACCCAAGTAATAAAGAAAGCCAATCAAGCCATATGATTGCATTTTGTTCTTTCACAGCAATGCTTCCCTAGTGTCAGATTAACATTGAAAATGCATGTTTTTCTTTAAACAGAACACTGATTCTGTTAGATCATCTCTGCCTTTAGCTTAAATCCCTCTATTTTAACTTTTACCCCAATATCACATTTACATGTAAAATGTCAGACCTTTGCCAATGCCACCAGACACTAAGATAGCTACTAGTATAGTCAATGTTCATAAAAACAAAAAAGGCCAACCAACGTTGCTTTAGGAGCTTAAAATCAGGTTTTCAAAGGTGTATCAATACTGAAAAAATCATCCTGCTTAATTATCAATCTTTGCTCAGAAGAAGCCAAGATGAAATTTGAGGTAATAAAGCAGATCACATCAACCTGCATTTTATAGAGCTGTCCTACAAAGAAAAAAAAAGTAGGAAATTACATAGTTATGCTTATGTAGACAAATAAAACTTCTAATTTTCTATTTGAGTAAGGATATAAATGTGAGAACAATACCACACTGACTCCACAGCAGAACGTTTACATAAAAATCAAGTAATGATTACATACTTTCCTTTATGCAGTGATTTAAAACTTTTAATATTTATTGTCTCTTACCATATAGTGCAAGGGTGGGCAATTATTCGGGCTCGCAGGCGACTAAGGCAGTTTTCAGGAGCTGCTGTGGGCTAGTCAGTGCAACCCCGCCTCTCCCTCCCCCTCCCTCCATATGCAACAGCCTGGAGCCCACACACCCTATGGCTCCGCCCCACCATCAGCACCCAATAGCAGCTGAGCAAACAGCCCTAGCCTCAACGCACCTTGCACCCGCTCTGGACTTGCCCCAGCCAGAACGGACCAGCTAGGATCCATGTGCACAACCCTGACCCTGGCCTACCCTGCATCTGCTCTGGACCCCCAACCCATGCTGAGCAGTAGTGGCAGCTGGGCAGAAGCTGCTGCCAGGTGTGAAGGAAAAGCAGTTTCACTGCTGCTGGGTCCTTCTTGCTGCAGCCACCCAGAGCCCACACCTGGGCTGCCCTGCAGCTCATCTCTGCAACTGTCACCACTACCACCAGAACCACTTTCAGGCCACCCAACGGAGCAGCAATAACAGTGGAGAGGAGCCTCAGGGAAGTCCAGGCATGGGCTGCAGGCAACCACAGCAAGAAGGGCCCAGCAGCAGCGAGGGAGAGGGAGACCATTTTCCCCTGCTCCCAGCAGCAGCTTCTGCCCAACTGCTGCCAGTGCTCAGCATGGGCAGGCAATCCAGAGCAGAAGTGGGGCAAGCCAGGATTGGGACTGTGTGCTTATGTCCCAGCTGGTCTGCTCTAGCTGAGGCAAGTCTAGAGCAGGTACAGGGTGGGCCAAGGTCAGAGCCAGGACTATGTGTGTTGGTCCTAGCTAGTCATGATGGGGCTGGGGCCAGTGGTGGTGGCAACCACTGCAGCCTGAGCTGCCTATAACTGGAATCCAGCCATGGAGCCACCCCAGCCCCGTTGCGTGCCTTGGGCCGGCAGGATGCACCACAGGCCAGATGGTGCCTAGGCCAGGAGGGACCAAGTCCCTCTGAGCCAGATCTGCCCTGCAGGACATTTTGCCCACCCCTGTTATAGTGGCATTCAACCTCTTCCAAACAAAAATACCTGGATATCACGACTGGCATTTATGCCCTTTGTTTCTTCTCCTTCACCATGCTTTCTATCTTCTCTGCCTCTCACTTCCTCCTCTACAACAGCTGTCAATTCTCCATACTGAGCCCTCCCATTTCTTCTACTCTATCTGTTAAAATGGTCACCAATGAAGTAACTAATGCTGAAGTGTAAAGTGCTTTCAATCAGCTCAGGAGTTAAACACCCAGAGAGTGGACAGAAAGGGATATTACTGCTTCAAGCTAGCTGTTTGCAGGGAGACATCCTTTTTAATTCTAGGTTTGCCTTCATAAGGTGGTGTTTGAAACCATGGATACAATATATTTTCTATTTTCTTATTTTTAATAGAAGACTGCAGTTGGAAAAAAACTAAATATACCATTTTGGTCCTATAAGCAGCCACAGTCTATTTGTGTGCCCCTCCAGCAGTTTAAACCAGACCAATTCATGCTTCCATTTCAGACTACTGGACCAAATCCTTCAGACTATGCACCATCCCTACAAAGAGAAACTCAATGTTGAAGTCATTGGCTTGAACTATATCTCATTTTCACTGCTATGGAAGACCATCCACTGGAACAAACTCAGTTCCTTATTCTCTTGATAGTTCACTAATTAAACAGCTAATTCTTGTGTGTAATTAAGAAAAGCAAATATTTTCTACTTCTGTCTGCCCATATGATGCTTTGCAGCTATTTTAGGGAATCCTCAGTGTTCCCAGAAAGAGTTCCTACTGCTTTGGCTATTGATACGATTTCATGGTTTAAATGCATTGGTCCCCATTGTATATCCTGCCAATCTACATTCAGTGTGCCAAGAGGATTTTCTTTTTAAATGACTAAGACCAACTTGAGTCTGCATGACAGACTTAACTCAGTAATGCTGCAAACTCACCTCATTCGCTAAGGCATATTAGGGGCATCACTAACCCAGGTAGAACATGAAGGCATGGTTTTGGAGTCCATGAAACTTCATGATTAAACGTATACCAAAACCTGCCTAAAAACAGCAGCGCTCCATCTACAGGGCAAAGAGTCAAATGAACTATATTAACTTTGAGTACCAATTATCTTCAGGATAACCAAGCACCAAGCATTCCAAAAATATTATCCTATTTCACTAGGAATGCTGTATATATTTAAAAAGCTCCTCCATCAGCTGTTTGTATTTCCAATGTTTAGTACTACTTGATGAATAAATACTAAATGGAGTAGTAGTCTCAACCAATGACTTCTGAATCTAAATCATGTCCTCCTTGGTTTGTGAAGCAAACAATTCGTGCCACTATTAATCAAAACAGCCACTCATCATTCCTTTCCTCCTTTAAACACCCAATAGTTTGGCCAAATCTGAAGAAACTCACTTTTTCTAAATCAGCTCAAATCAATTACTGCCCAGGTATCAAACCTCCCATTCCTCTGCAAGCTTAATGAGAAGCTACCCAAAGGCTAACCAAAGGTGCATCTAATTGCAACTAATATTTTAGATCTTGTACTTAGACTTCAGGCCAAGAAATAGAACCGAAACCACTGTGGCAGCACTGACAGATAATCTCATTTTGTCCATGGCTAGAGATCAGGCATTTCTTTTTTTTTTTTATCTTCCTGGATATGTCTATGGTACACAATACTGTTGTCTTGAGAAATTACAATCTCACTAAAAGGGTGGCTAAGATCTGAATAAGTGCCATAAAATCTTTTAAGTCTTTCCTAGAATTTACATCCAAGAAGGATCAATTAATATAAGATCTTTTTCATCATCCATATGCAGCCATTATGGCTGCTTACAAACACCCCCCCCTCACTCAAACAGCACTTTACTTTAAACTCTACACACAGAGCCCAGTGCATGCCCAGGAGAGGTACTGCATTAGTTTGAACCGGCTCACCCAATGTCTGTATAGACTGGGAACTTCAGTAGGGCTTTTTTGGTGCTTTTTAAAAAAAATCTAATAGCTGATTGACTCAGCTCTAGACAAAAGCGCTAAAAAGCCCTGCCAAAGTATGCAATCTATACAGACACTGTTGAGCCAGAAAACCAACACACTGCCTCTTCCAGTGCAGTGTGGGATTTTTTTTTTCCCCACATCTGTCAGGAGCCAAAATAATTAGTCAAATAAAATGGATGCAAGTACAAACAATATGCAGATGACACAGCTCTACCAAACCACTTTCTCCAAGATGGCTTGATATTTGGATGAGATCAGTTCATGGATGAAAAACAGCTGGTTGAAGCCAAACCTGAGTTGAACAACACCAGTGGGGCAGAGGAAAATAAACAAACAGTCACAGCCATGGTACAGACTCCTTTTGTGAATGTGTACTTTTTATTATATATCAATTCTGTCTAAGGGCCTTGTTACATTATGCTGTGCCACACAAATGTTGATCAGTGTTAGTGGTAGCTTGAGTTTGGAGCAGTCACACTTCAGGCCAGCAGGAGCCTGGAAGACTGAAAGTTAAGTATCCACCCCCCCGCCCCCAATTCCAGACTCCCCTGCAGCCCCCCACCCCTGGGGTTCCCTACCCACCCATGCCCCCAAGTCTCCCCCTCCTGCTTACTTGTGGCTCCCTCTGCTGTCTGCCCTAGGGGAGCAGGCAGAGGAAGGTTATGACCTGCCTGCCTCTCGCTCCCACTGCTGCAGGGTCGCTGCTCTTCTCCAGGCTGAGCCTGGCCCAGAGAACAGCAGTGGTGACAACAGCAACTAGGCAGGCAGGTTAGCCCTTCTTTGCCTGCTCCCTTGGGACAAACAGTACAGGCAGCCACAAGTCAGAGGGGGAGATGGGGTGCTGGGAAGGGTGGGGGCAGTGTTTACACTAAGATGTAGCCTAGTCATTACACCTTAGTGTAACAAACTGGGTAACACGGATCAAATAATTCTGTCCTGGAGTGTCAAAACTTTGAGCCATATGAGTGCTTAAAACTAGTTTCAGGTATCAATGTGTGGACAAATTCAGCTGTTAAGAGCTTCAGGAGCTGCCCAAAATTACTGTGCAACAAGGCCCTTAGGGCACTGAAACTTCAGATTGCTCATGAACACCATATTAAAAAAAAACCCGAGAAGAACCATACTGGTTCAGACCAATGGTACATCTACCACAGTATCCCGTCTCGACTGTGGTAGGGGTTGATACTATACAGGGAGAGCACTGAACTGGTTCTCTCTAAAATAGTCATTCCCTATTCAGTACCTAGAGACTTCCAGAATTTGTGCCAGAAGTGCATGGTATGGCAGCTTCTTCCATTTGGAGTTCCAAGAGGTGGGTACACCATGGATTTGTATAACAGCATGATGATTTTTTTTGCTTTATTTTCAATTATCTTCTTAATGACGACCAACATTCTATTGGCTTTTTTTGCCACATGCTGAGCTGCTGTTTTTAGATTACTCCCTACAATGACTCCAAGGTCTCTTTCCCCAAGTTGTAAGAGCTAGTTCAGAACCCAGCACTGTGTACATATAGTTGAGGTTATTTATTTTTCCCCAGCTGCATTACCTTGCATTTGTTGACATTGAAGTTTGCTATTTTTTTGTCCACTCACTTAGCTTGTAGAGATCTTCCTGCATGCCCTCTCCATCAGCTTTAGGACCCAACTACCTGGAATAATTTGGTATCATCTGCAAACTTGGAGATTTCACTGTGCACGCCCATTTCCAGGTCCTTGATGAAAATAGTGAACAAAATAGGACCCAAAACAGATCCCAGAGATCCCTTGCTTTTGATTTCCCTCCATCCTGAAAAATGATCATTTAGCTCTACTTTTTGCTTCCTATTTTTTAACTAGCTGTCAATCCACAAAAGAACCTTTCCTTCAATCCTGTGACAACACAGTTTTCTCAAAAGTCTTTGGTACGAAACTTTGTCTAATCCTTTTTTTGGAAGTTCAAATGCATCAACTGAATCCCCATTGTCCACGTGCTTGTTAACACAGAATCGAGAGGCAGGATTTCCTGTTACAAAATATGATTTCCCAGCAAATCAAATCTGTCTGTGTAACCGGTGATTTTAATTTTTATTATAGGTTCTACCAACTTGCCAGGTATGGAAGTGAGTCTCACTGGTATGTAGTTCCCAGGATAATCTCTGGAGCCCTTTTTGAGGATGTGTTATGTTGGCAACCTGCCAGTCCTGTGGCACAGAGGATGCTGCCAGCAGTTCTGTAATTTTACCTTTGAGTTCCTTACTCTTGGGTGAATGCCATCCAGTTCTGGTGACTTAGTTTTAGTGTATCCATTTGTGCTACATAATTTTATGCTGTCACTTCAATGTGGTCCAACTCTCCAGACCCATCTACTAGAAAGGATTGATCTGGCATAGGAAATACATCAGGTCTCGCACAGCAACATTCACAAGCAATACTATCATTTGTGACTGGTTAGAATCTCCATCCCATGCAGGCAAAGTATGACCTAACCTCTGTCATTAATAGGTTCATCACTTCTCAGCTGGATAATAGTAACAGCCAATTCAAGGGCCTGAAGTTTACAATACTTAAAGAAGTGCTCCTCCTTACTACAGGCTATGGTAAATACATCATACCTATCTGTTGCTCTCTACAGACTTCCCAACATATTCTGCAATCAAGTTCTAGGTCTTGTCCTTCTCTTCAAAGTACTCTCCAAAATCAGGGTAGACTAAAAGAAGGTTTTCCCTGACTGCAGTCCTAGGAACGTGGAGTGAACTGTATCCCAGAATTAAAGATGGTCACAATACCATATTCTGCTCCAAATTCAAGGCACATTGCCTTGTCTAACACACACACACTTTAAAAAAAAAAAAAATCCCTCTACCAAGGGGGGGAAAAAAAAGATATCCACATTACACTGAACAGTCTTCTCCCTAGGAAGAGGATGATAAATCCAATACCATGTACTGTTAACTTAACCTGCTACAAGGTGTTCAGATATACCATCCTGTTACTGTACTAAAAACCTGTATAAGAAAAGCTTATACAAGTTTGTTCTGTCTCGTGATTGTCATTTCATATATCCAATTAGTTCATTTAACTGAATTTTCTAGTTTGTTTTCTATAAGCATTTGCAACAATTACTGCCAGTAACAGTAGTAGGTCTTTGATGTTACATCAGTAGGGCTAGGGACAGAAGCTATACATAAACCGGTTTAAATGATCAGAAATTGGTTTAAACGTGTAACAGAACGGAAGGTAAGTGCACATAAACCAGTTTCAAAATGGCTGAGACTGGTTTAGGATAAACCAGGTTGAATGTAGTATCAGGCTAAATTGATTTAAGTCAAACCAGTTTATGACATTTGTCACAGACCCCTTCCTGGTTCAAGATGAGTCAGTCCCCCAGCATGCTTTCCAGCCCTGGGTTGGGCTATCTGCTCCAACAGAGAAGGCCTGGAGATGGGGCAGAGAAACAGGGGGAGGGGTAAGGCAGGGACTGCCCCTCCTACAAGGCAAACTCCAGCTGGGGTCTGGGGCCAGGGAGCAGGGTTAAAAAAACTTCCCTTCCCTCCCCCCCTCCTTCCCTACCCTGCTAAAAAAATTAAAAACAAA